GGAAACGGTATCTGATGGGTGAAATATGGCCATCACATAGGGGAAACGGTATGTGATGGGAGATTTATGGCCATCAGGTAGCGTTCCCCCACTTTAAAACAGGGGAAACGATATCTGATGGCCACATTTCACCCATCAGATAGCGTTCCCCCTGTTTTACAGTGGGGGAACGCTACTGTAAAACGTAGCGTTTTACAGTAACGTATATTTATATATATAGTCATTTTTATCTTTTTCCCCTAAGTTGCCGTGCACATTGCTGAGAAACTCTGTTTCCAAAGACTGCTACCACTTCTGGATGACAGAGGGACACCTCTAGAACAGAACCAGAAAGTGGCAAGTAGATTTGATGTGTAATTTCAAAATAAAAGCCTATCAAAAAAGTCATTTCTTATCTTTTTCCCCTAAGTTGCTGTGCACATTGCTGAGAAACTCTCTGTTTCCAAAGACTGCTACCACTTCTGGATGACAGAGGGACAACTCTAGAACAGAACCAGAAAGTGGCAACCAGATCTGATGTGTAATTTCAAAATAAAAGAATTTCAAAATAGTCATTTGTTATGTTTTTCCCACCAATTTGCCTTGCACATTGCTGAAAAACTTTGTGATTCCAGTGACTTCTCTCATCGTTCACTGACGATGCTTTCTGGAAGTATTCCTGAGCCCATACTGTTGTTTCCTTGACAGTGGCATTCCTGTTTGAGGTGCAGTGACGTCTCCTCTGTCCCCAGACGTCTGAGTGTTTTAAGAAGAAGAGGAGATGCCACAGAGTGGTCAAAATGTCCGTGTTCCAACTTTTTTGGGATTTATAGACATTGTGAAATTTTGACTCAACATATATTTCCTGTAAAATGTTACATTTACTCAGATTAAACTTTTGATTTGCCATCTATGTTCTATTACGAATAAAATATTATATGTTGCCACCTCCACATCATTGCATTCAGTTTTTATTCACAAATTGTTTAGTGTCACACCTGTTTTGAAATCTGGTTTGTATATAAGTAGTACATGTATAGGAGATTATAGAAAAATCTGTATATAAATAAGATGATTGAGTGAGGCAGCTCTTTACATTTTCTACTTATTTTTGTATATAAAAGTAAAAACATATTATTTTAAAAGGATTTAATTTTGAAATTATAGATCACATGTGTTTGATATTTTCTGGTTGTCTTCTATAGGTGTCCCTCTGTCATCCAGAAGTGAGAGAAGTCACTGGAAACAAAAAGTTTTTCAGCAATGAGCACGGCAACTTAGGGGAAAAAGATTTTTAAAAAATGGCTTTTTTGATAGGCTTTTATTTTGAAATTACACATCAGATCTGGTTGCCACTTTCTGGTTCTGTTCTAGAGGTGTCCCTCTGTCATCCAGAAGTGGTAGGAGTCTTTGGAAACAGAGAGTTTCTCAGCAATGAGCACGGCAACTTAGGGGAAAAAGATAAAAAATGACTTTTTTGATGGGCTTTTATTTTGAAATTACACATCAGATCTGGTTGCCACTTTCTGGTTCTGTTCTAGAGGTGTCCCTCTGTCATCCA